GGATCAACAAGTGTGAAAATTGGATCCTGTAAATTCTATTGCCCTCAACTGTATGCTTAAGTAACTTTTTACAGGTATGTATTAATGTTACTACTTTGTGGCTCTGGTGTGTCATTGTACACACATTGGTCACAGACACTCCTACCCTTAGTATCAAAGCAAGAATGGTATGGAAAACATTTTTGCTTGTAAGACTTGGTTGCCAGTAATCTACCTTCTTTGTTCTGTTTGGAATACAGTAAAACAAAACTTTTAATATTTAAAGCATAGCTTTGCTTTTCTGTAATTGCATCTCATAAATATCTCAGTATAACACTGGTTATTGCTTCCAACAATTCACTAGTAAGTATTTGTTTATTAAGTAGCATCAAAGAAGCTAGTATTTCCTTCAAATCATTCACCTTCTTTAAATGTAAGTGTTGGGGCATATTGGATACATAGGCCTCTGGGCTATTCAAAGAGCAATTGCAGAGGTATATGGTTATGCACTGGCTTGGAAGTAACCATGAAGTGCAATTGAAATAAGTTTAATATATTCTCTGTCAAGCAAGGCATCATTCACCCACCAGCATCCTGCCACACATGACCAAAACCCCAAACCTTGGGTCATTTTTGGCAGACTATATTTTGCTGCTTTCATCTAAAAAGCAAAATCACTAATAAGACAGAATAGGGTAGTCTTGTGAATTCATAGAGACTTATTTATCCATAATAATTGAGGTGGGCTACAGCACTGTAACATGAATGTGTAATACAGAAGCAAGTGCACACAACATTAAGTCCTGTAATTCCATAAGTCCTTTGCTAATGCTGTGAGGCTGCCTTCTATCTTGTGAAGAATGGTATTCAGATGAGTCAATGGAGGGGTGAAAAAAGATCCAAAAATCCCCACACATGATCAAAGGTTCTTTACACAAAGTGGTCATCTTGTGTAAAATATGATTTAGAACAGGCATTTGTGGGGCATTGTGAAAAGTGAGGTATACTTCACACAATGTGCAAACTACTAGGTTAGGTCCTTCTTAGAAGTATCAATATGATATCTGCTGTTTTTGAGTATGCTACTAAATGAAAAGCATTGGTATACCACTTATACATAAATGTAGGTAATCTACCCCTTGCAAAGTGGATTTCTACCACACATATAAGACATGCAACAGAGCGACTCACTACATCGAATAGCAATCATTGTTTGTGTGGGATATTTAAACCCCTCACATTTAGAGCGATTATATGTAGAGCCATACAAAATGTAAAAGCCTCACTAAAATATGTTTAATGCAGCAACATGGCCATTTATGATATAGATCCCTATTAATGAACAACAGACCAAAGGCATCCCAAAATAAACACATGAAAAAATGAAAGAAACAAAAATCAGTAGAATCTGCCATATCTGCCATGAAGTATCTGCAATAGTACAATAGAATTCTGCCCCAAATGCTGATATTCAAGTTAGCCAATTTAATCCACTAATAACACAGCAATATAGTATAGTGCACTTACAGTATAAGTCGAGTTTTTCAGCACATTTTTTTGCTTAAAAACCCCCACTCAACTTATACTCGAGTCAAGGTCTGTATTATGGCAACTTACATTGCCATAATACAGACCAGCACTGCCGGGCTTGTCCTCTTGGGGGCTGGCAGGAAGAGTTTACTTACCTTTCCTGCAGCTCCGGTCAGCTCCACTGTAAGTCTCGCGAGAGCCGCGGCCATCAGAGCATTGCCATGGGTTACCGTGGCAACGCTCCGCGCGGCACACAGACCGCAAGATTTACAGTGGAGCTGACAGAGGAGCTGACCGGAGCTGCAGGAAAGATAGAAACATAGAAACATAGAATGTGACGGCAGATAAGAACCATTCGGCCCATCTAGTCTCCCCAATTTTCTAAAAACTTTCATTAGTCCCTAGTCTTATCTTATAGTTAGGATAGCCTTATGCCTATCCCATGCATGCTTAAAATCCTTTACTGTGTTAACCTCTACCACTTCAGCTGGAAGGCTATTCCATGCATCCACTACCCTCTCAGTAAAGTAATACTTCCTGATATTATTTTTAAACCTTTGTCCCTCTAATTTAAGACTATGTCCTCTTGTTGTGGTAGTTTTTCTTCTTTTAAATATAGTCTCCTCCTTTACTGTGTTGATTCCCTTTATATATTTAAATGTTTCTATCATATCCCCCCTGTCTCGTCTTTCCTCCAAGCTATACATGTTAAGATCCTTTAACCTTTCCTGGTAAGTTTTATCCCGCAATCCATGAACCAGTTTAGTAGCCCTTCTCTGAACCTCTCTAAGGTATCAATATCCTTCTGAAGATACGGTCTCCAGTACTGTGTACAATACTCCAAGTGAGGTCTCACCAGTGTTCTGTACAATGGCATGAGCACTTCCCTCTTTCTACTGCTAATGCCTCTCCCTATACAACCAAGCATTCTGCTAGCATTTCCTGCTGCTCTATTACATTGTCTGCCTACCTTTAAGTCATCAGAAATAATCACCCCTAAATCCCTTTCCTCAATTGTTGAGGTTAGGACTCTATCAAATATTCTGTACTCGCTCCTTGGGTTTTTACGTCCAAGATGCATTATCTTGCCCTTATCCACATTAAATGTCAGTTGCCACAATTGTGACCATTTTTCTAGTTTACCTAAATCATTTGCCATTTGGCTTATCCCTCCTGAAACATCAACCCTGTTACATATCTTAGTAACATCAGCAAAAAGACATACCTTACCATCAAGACCTTCTGCAATATCACTAATAAAAATATTAAAGAGAATGGGTCCAAGTACAGATCCCTGAGGTACCCCACTGGTGACAAGTCCAGCTTCGAATATATTCCATTAACTACAACCGTCTGTTGCCTGTCACTCAGCCACTGCTTTACCCATTCAACAATATTGGAATCCAAACTTAAAGATGGCAGTTTATTGATAAGCCTTCTATGTGCAACAGTGTCAAAAGCCTTACTGAAATCTAGGTAAGCAATGCCTACTGCACCACCCTGATCTATAATTTTAGTTACCCAATCAAAAAAATCAATAAGATTAGTTTGGCATGATCTCCCTGAAGTAAACCCATGTTGTCTCTGATCTTGAAATCCATGTGTTTTTAGATGTTCATCAATCCTATCCTAGCCTCTTTCTGCCTAATCTTATAGATCATTTTGTCTCCCTCACTCTGGGTTTTTTTATAATTCCTAAATGCTAACTTTTTTTTTTTAACTATTTTGGCCACATCTGCGGAGTACCACAGTGGTTTCTTGAATTTTTGGCTTTTACTGACAAGCCTAATGCAATTTTCTGTTGCCTTCAATAGTGCAACTTTTAAATAATCCTATTTTTCTTGGACTCCATTTAAATTGCTCCAGTCTGATAATGACTCCTCTACCCATATTCTAATTTTAGAAAAGTCTGTTTTTCTAAAGTCTAAAACTTTTGTTTTTGTGTGGTGTGACTCAGTTACTGTTCTTATATTAAACCACACTGACTGATGATCACTGGATCCTAAACTTTCACCTACAGTAACATCTGATATCAAATCTCCATTTGTTAACACTAAATCTAGTATGGCCTCTTTACGAGTTGGCTCCTCAACAACTTGTTTTAGAGACAATCCCAGTAGGGAATTTAGAATATGTGTGCTCCTGGCACAAGTAGCTAATTTTGTTTTCCAATTTACATCAGGAAGATTAAAGTCACCCATGATGATAACTTCCCCCTTCATTGTCATTTTAGCTATTTCCTCAACTAGTAGATTATCTAACTCTTCAATTTGTCCTGGGGGCCTATAAATCACACCTACACGAGTTACTGTGTGATTACCAAATTCTAACGTAGCCCAAACGGACTCTATGTTTGCCTCACTAACTTTTATTAGGCTAGATTTTATGCTATCCTTCACATACAAGGCCACCCCTCCCCCTTTCTTGCCTTCCCTATCTTTCCTATATAAAGAGTACCCTGGTATTGCTACGTCCCAGTCATTTTTCTCATTGTACCATGTCTCAGTAACAGCGACTAAATCTATACTATCAGTTGCCATTATTGCCACAAGTTCATGGATCTTATTCCCTAAACTGCGAGCATTTGTAGACATGACTAAGCTTATCATTTTTTAACACACTTGCTACAGGCACCTTCTGTCCTTGTTTTGGGGGACAATTGGATTGATGTTTTATCACCCTTTTGCCCCCCTCCTAGTTTAAATACATCCTAGCAAAACCTCTGAACTGCTCACTGAGAACATTTGTTCCCTTTTGAGAAAGATGTAAACCATCTTTTTTGTACAGTTTATTTCCATTCCAAACAGAGCTACCATGAGAAATAAAGCCAAATCCTTGCTCCCGACACCATTCACCAAGCCACAAATTAAAGTCCCTAATACGCATCCGCCTGTCGCTCTGAGTGTTATGCACAGGCAGAACTTCAGAGAATGACAGTGTGGAAGCAACCTGCCGTATATCATTGGCAAAAACACTAAAAACTTCCTTAACCTCTGAAACCTTATTGCAAGCCAAGTCATTTTGTCCCTAGATGGACAAGTACATCCAATTCCCCTTCCTGCTTTGCTTGCTTAACAATATTACAGATTCGTCTCCTGTCTCTGTGAGCAGTAGCTCTGGGAAGACACCTCACAAGACCACCATTGTCCATCTCCACACCTCTTATAATGGAATCACCCAACAACAACTGCTTTCTATTAGGCCTCACCATAGTCTCCAAGCCGGTCTCCACAACACCACTAGTCTCAGTGCCTCTCTCCACAACAACCCTAGCCTCAGTGCCTCTCTCCACAACATCACTATCCTCAGTGACTCTCTCTACAACACCACTAGTCTTAGTGCCTCTCTCCACAACACCACTATCCTCAGTGACTCTCTCTACAACACCACTAGTCTTAGTGCCTCTCTCCACAACACCACTAGCCTCAGTGCCTCTCTCCACAACACCACTAGCCTCAGTGCCTCTCTCTACAACACCACTAGTCTTATTGCCTCTCTCTACAACACCACTAGTCTTATTGCCTCTCTCCACAACACCACTAGCCTCAGTGCCTCTCTCCACAACACCACTAGCCTCAGTGCCTCTCTCCACAACACCACTAGCCTCGGTGCCTCTCTCCACAACACCATTACACTCTGAAAGTGCAGAAAATGAATTATGGAGAGCAACAGACTGTGCAAAATGCCTTTTATCCACAACTCTAAGTCTACCAGATCCTACAGTAATCCATCTGCCTTTCCTAGCATGTCTCTGCGGCAGTGGCTTTGCAGCAGTTCCAGTCTGAGTTTCTACACCAGATAATTTACAAATCTCAGACTTCAAAATACAATCTCCTGCCGCAAGATAGAGAACTGTCTACAGATTAGACAACAACCAAACCTCCAAAAAGTGGAACGTGAAACAAATGCATAGCAATTGTTACACTGAACTAAGCCTGCCATTCCAATTATGAGAATAATTTAAATCTTAACAAATCTTAACTTTTTTCTTTATCCTCCTGAATACCTCAGATTACCTCCAGATTCTCTCCAGAATATCTCCAACTAGACACTTAGAAACAGCACTTGGAAGTAGCACCAAGCTATATTAGACAAGCTAATGAGACCAAGCCTTAGATAACTCCTTAAATCACCGCCCACTAGGAATGTTTAACACCTGGGTAGGCCTCTGCTTATTTGCAAACAATAGCTAATTAACCAGCAAACAACAGCAAGTAACTAGCTTAATCAAATCAAATGCCTTATAATTACCAACAGGAATTCAAACCTTGGGCAATCAGTAACCTTTTCCTACAGATGAATCTTACCTGTACAGTAGAAAAGAAAGCTCTTAGCACAACTCTTAGACAGTTGAAGCTTCTGTAAAACTCTCCAGAATATCTCCAACTAGACACTTAGAAACAGCACTTGGAAGTAGCACCAAGCTATATTAGACAAGCTAATGAGACCAAGCCTTGATACAACTCCTTAAATCACCGCCCACTAGGAATGTTTAACACCTGGGTAGGCCTCTGCTTATTTGCAAACAATAGCTAATTAACCAGCACAAACAACAGCAAGTAACTAGCTTAATCAAATGTACGCCTTATATTACAACAGGAATTCAAACATTAATAATCGTAACCTTTTTCCTACAGACGAATCTACCTGTAACAGTAGAAAAGAAAGCTCTTAGCACAACTCTTAGACAGTTGAAGCTTCTGTAAAACTTTCCAGAATATCTCCAACTAGACACTTAGAAACAGCACTTGGAAGTAGCACCAAGCTATATTAGACAAGCTAATGAGACCAAGCCTTAGATAACTCCTTAAATCACGCCCACTAGGAATGTTTAACACCTGGGTAGGCCTCTGCTTATTTGCAAACAATAGCTAATTAACCAGCAATCAACAGCAAGTAACTAGCTTAATCAAATCAAATGCCTTATAATTACCAACAGGAATTCAAACCTTGGGCAATCAGTAACCTTTTCCTACAGATGAATCTTACCTGTAACAATAGAAAAGAAAGCTCTTAGCACAACTCTTAGACAGTTGAAGCTTCTGTAAAACTCTCCAGAATATCTCCAACTAGACACTTAGAAACAGCACTTGGAAGTAGCACCAAGCTATATTAGACAAGCTAATGAGACCAAGGAAAGGTAAGTGAACGCTTCCTGCTGGCCCCCCCTGCACAGCCCATCCACTGGACAACCAGGGATTAAGACAGCCCCCCTCCCTGATCAGTTAACAAGCAGGGAGGACAATTTTTTTTTAAATAATAAAATAATAGTAAAATATATATATATATATATTTTTAAATAATAAAAATGCCCTCCCCCCACCCAGTTCACACATACTACACACACACACTCACTCTACATTATATACACGCACTCATACAAACACACACTTTTCATTATATACACACAGAGTGTGTGTATATAATGCAGAGTGTGTGTTTGTATGAGTGTGTGTATATATAATGCAGAGTGTGTGTTTGTATGAGTGTGTGTGTATATAATTATAAAAATCACAGAATTTCATAGCCCCAAGTTTTACTCTCGACTTATCCATGAGGCATTGCATATTTCACAATTGTTGGTCACAAAACTGCACTCGACTTATACAGTTGCAAGAAAAAGTATGTGAACCCTTTGGAATGATATGGATCTCTTCACAAATTGGTCATAAAATGTGATCTGATCATCCTCTAAGTCACAACAATAGACAATCACAGTCTGCTTAAACTAATAACACACAAAGAATGACATGTTGCCATGTTTTTATTGAACACACCATGTAAACAATAGACAATCACAGTCTGCTTAAACTAATAACACACAAAGAATGACATGTTGCCATGTTTTTATTGAACACACCATGTAAACATTCACAGTGCAGGTGGAAAAAGTATGTGAACCCCTAGACTAATGACATCACCAAGAGCTAATTGGAGTGAGATGTCAGCCAACTGGAGTCCAATCAATGAGATGAGATTGGAGGTGTTGGTTACAGCTGCCCTGCCCTATAAAAACACACACCAGTTCTGGGTTTGCTTTTCACAAGAAGCATTGCCTGATGTGAATGATGCCTCACACAAAAGAGCTCTCAGAAGACCTACGAGTAAGAATTGTTGACTTGCATAAAGCTGGAAAGGGTTATAAAAGTATCTCCAAAAGCCTTGCTGTTCATCAGTCCACGGTAAGACCAATTGTCTATAAATGGAGAAAGTTCAGCACTGCTGCTGCGTCCTGTAAAGATGACTGTAAGAGCACAGCGCAGACTGCTCAATGAGGTGAAGAAGAACCCTAGAGTGTCAGCTAAAGACTGACTTACAAAAGTCACTGGCAAATGCTAACATCCCTGTTAGCGAATCTACAATACGTAAAACACTAAACAAGAATGCATTTCATGGGAGGATACCACAGAGGAAGCCACTGCTGTCCAAACAAAACATTGCTGTACGTTTACAGTTTGCACAATGGCACCTGGATGTTCCACATCAGTACTGGCAAAATATTCTGTGGACAGATAAAGCCAAAGTTGAGTTGTTTGGAAGAAACACACAACACTATGTGTGGCGAAAAAAAGGCACAGCACACCAACATCAAAACCTCATCCCAACTGTAAAGTATGGTGGTGGGGGCATCATGGTTTGGGGCTGCTTTGCTGCATCAGGGCCTGGACGGATTGCTATCATCGAAGGAAAAATGAATTCCCAAGTTTATCAAGACATTTTGCAGGAGAACTTAAGGCCATCTGTCTACCAGCTGAAGCTCAGCAGAAGATGGGTGTTGCAACAGGACAATGACCCAAAGCATAGAAGTAAATCAACAACAAAATGGCTTAAACAGAAGAAAATATGCCTTCTGAAGTGGCCCAGTCAGAGTCCTGACCTCAACCCGATTGAGATGCTGTGGCATGACCCCAAGAAAGCGATTCACACCAGACATCCCAAGAATATTGCTGAACTGAAACAGTTCTGTAAAGAGGAATGGTCAAGAATTACTCCTGACCGTTGTGCACGTCTGATCTGCAACTACAGGAAACGTTTGGTTGAAGTTATTGCTGTCAAAGGAGGTTCAACCAGTTATTAAATCCAAGGGTTCACATACTTTTCCACCTGCACTGTGAATGTTTACATGGTGTGTTCAATAAAAACATGGCAACATTTCATTCTTTGTGTGTTATTAGCTTAAGCAGACTGTGATTGTCTATTGTTGTGACTTAGATGATGATCAGATCACATTTTATGACCAATTTGTGCAGAAATCCATATCATTCCAAAGGGTTCACATACTTTTTCTTGCAACTGTACATGAGATCGACTTATACACGAGTACATACGGTAAGCATAACTAGCATTAAATCACCCTTGAATGAGGTTCCCATATCCAGGTATGTTTTTACTACATTATATTTAATGGTAGGATGAAGACAAAAGAGTGTCAAATGTTTTTGTAATACAAATGCCTTCTATATAATAAAAATAAAATTAACAAAGATTAGTTGTATATGAGCTCAGAACATAAAATATTGTGTAAATGTTTAGTATTTTCACAGACAACATCCACTTCTTCCGCACATGATGCTTTCATTCTGAAATATAATATAAACTTTGTCCAATATTTCTAAATTACATAAAGAAATAAATTAAATAGTTCCCTCCACACATCTTTATTCTTAACACAAATTATTCTAACTCTGTTTTATATTCATTTGCTTAATAAATGTAAAAAAGCCCCATGGGATAAAGTGAAGTGAGACTACAATTTCTCTCTGCTGCTCCATCTGCACACCACTCAAAGATGTTTTCAATTGTACTCTATCATGAACATAACCCAAGGGCTATGATGCAAGATGTACCACATCATATGGATGCTGTAGGAAATAAACAATGCAGTCCTCTGGGTTAGGAAGAGAATCTTCATAATATAAATAAAAGCTTACCATCTGTGCTGCAGCACTAACTTTAGAATGTTTTCTACTCTTTGTTATTGAAAATAAGCATATCAATATTTTTATAGAATTCATGAATGTTAACACTTATTAACGAAGACAAAATGCAATTCATATTACTGATAATGCAAAACTTTCACGTAGTATAAGTTCTACCTTGTTGACTAAGCATGTACAAGGTTAAAACTGTTTTCTGGGATTATAGTACCTATATATAGTTGGTGAACTGTTTGAAAATTCTATTCTGGAATGCCACAGTTTGTAAGGTCTATTTTTCTAAGTTATAATTAATTACATAGTAATGTTCAATTAAAAGAGACTCAAGTCCATCAAGTTTAGTCTTTCGCACATTTTGGGACAATTGAGAGACCCACACCATTCCATTCTTAAGAGTGGATTAAGCAATGTAATCCTCCTGACACTCCCATAATACAACATGAACTATCATTTACATTTTGTAAACTCTTTCACAGAACTGGGGTAAATCCTAACCTGGATACAGATATCTGTAATGCAAATTGCTGATCGCTGAAGTAATCAAAACTACGGTAGCGGACACTGGGTAACCTGACTGGTTACCTCCTCTAATACCTTCACTCAGCCACTCTGGAACCATAAACACAAGTAAATCCCAATTCCCCAGTAGCCAGAAGAAACAGTCCTGGCAGGGCCGGATTAACATTAGGGCTAGTGGAGCTGCATCTCCATGCCCATTTAATTTAGTTTTACACACTTCTCTTAGGGTTGCCACCTGGTCGGTATTTATTTGATGCTGCCTGACTGGTGCCGATATTGCAGTAATACTGGCAATACAAATGCTGGTATTTTTCGCAGTATAAACAGATATTACTCTGCAATACCAGCACTGGCCAGTAGGGGTTGCTGTGTATGTGGAGAGAGGCAGGGATATGAAGTTACAGAATATACCTGCATCTCTCTACTCACTGATCCAAGGGGGATCAGCTACACAGCACAAAGTGTCCAGACAGCAGCACCCAGCCTGCAGAGACAGCCTGCAGCTCAGGAAAGTAAGGGATTGGGTATAGGCTGCAGGGAAACATGGGGACACTGAGTCACTAGGGGACAGTGTGAGACACGGGGACACAGGGAGACTTCTGGGGATACTGCGACACTTGGGGACACTTGGAGACAGACAAAAATAGGGGCAATGAGACATGGGGACACCGACACATAGGGACATGGAGACACCGTCACATAGGGACACTGGGAGACCAAGGCACCCCATTTATAAATTGGTGGTGGCAGCATTAAAATAGTAATGGTTATATTACTTTTAAGTATGGGTGGTGTTAAAAGTGGGATTTTTTCATTATTTCCGGTCTAGTGCAGACAAATAGTGGATTTTAACCCTTTCACCACCACAACTACGTCACGCATACTCTTGGAGTAGGGTGCATTCGTGACACACATAAGTACACCAAATTAGGGAGTTGTCTGTTAAACAGCTGAAAAATCTAAATCAATTACATTTTTTGCTGATATCCCATCTGCAAAATATATTTTATTTCTTCAGTTAACAAAATTAAAATTTTAAAAACATATTGGTAACCTAGTCGCGTAAAAATGTTAAATACAATATATTGTTAACGTAGTCTCAGATTAATGACAATTTTTTTATTTTCAAGTGTCTCTGACTTTAGATATCTAGCTAGATTCAAAAGCAAGCAAATTCTACGCTACCACTACAATCAATGACCCAGGCTATCTACCACACAGGCACAGTAAAGGTAAAACACACTGTATCACTGCTGTCATGTCTTCCTCAGTCAAAGTGTTTTAGAAAAATCATGCTGGGAAGAATAGATTGTTTTACTGCTGCTACTTCTTCCCCTCGTTTGTTGTTGGCAGTCCCCTAAGCATTAATTATCTTTTATTTTCCTCCTCTCAATTGGACAGATAATACAGTCCACATGATTTTGGTTGTAGCAGATTGAACTACAGATGAAAGTCAAGAGGAAGAGGAAGAGGGCATGTTAGCTGTTGGATAATCTGGGCTGCTCCTTGAGGAATCCTGACTCTCCTCTACTGTCTTCTTGTCTTCTCTCTCACAGTTAAGCTCTTCATAAACCAGCCTCAATGCAGTTCCTGTTGTGCCCCTGTGGTGTATAGGGTGCCTATACAGACTAAGAGTAGGTGGCAATGGCAACAACTTCACACTGATTATACCTTGCTGCAAGTAAAACTAGGAAGCAAGGGGATTCATGGTTAAAATAGATGTAGCCTGTACCAGTGATAGTAGCAGCACTGGTAGTGAAGTTGATGGTATTGGGAATCAGAAAACAGCCTCTGTGTATATGAAAAAAACTGCTTGGAAACTTGACTCCCAGTCTCAACCCTGCTGCTATACTTTGCTATACTTTGTGCCAAACTTTCTCTCTTTGACATCTTCCATTTCCCTTTCTTCATGGACAAATGAAGAGAGGGCACAAGTAGTGGAAGAAGCTTGGGGCACAACTTGCTTCTTTTTACTCACTGGACTACTAGATTTTGTAGAAGTAGGCACTGCTATTTTGCCATGGAAACTGCTATGGGTGTTGAGACGATTTTCCTGATTTAAAAAAACAAAAGAATAGATAAACCACATCTAACAAGTAACGTTTAAGTGCAATTTAAAACTAGAAACCTAAACATACATATATCAGACTAAATTTTTATTTTGTATAATATCAAATATCTCAAAACGAAAGAGAAAACAAAACACAAATTGTGTAATATGTTTTTAAAAGTGATTAAAACAGTCTGATGTAGCAAAGGCACACTCACACTTTATGAGAGTTCTGCTGTATTCAGTGTGGATGGTACAATTCCTCTCTCACTATATATATTTATATTTAACAGTAGTTGTGGTGTTTCTCCAGGAAGTTAGATATGTGGAAACAAAAGTTGAGATATTCAATAGCGCAGTATAAAACCAATAACTTGGTAGAATAAAAGGTATATGTCCTGGGAGATAGGACTCCTCGTACGTGTTACCATATTTTTATTTTTTGTCTAACATCCCCTTGTAGTCAAAAGGAGTCACTACAAGAACATTGTATCTGTTCCCTTCTGTTCGGTTACCAAACAAAATATGTGTGGTCCCCCTTATTAGCACCTTGTAATCATCCGACAACCTCTGGCTGTTAACCACAAATGAGCAATAATCTTAAGTGCTTTCCCTTTCCCTAGGTGGCTGTCATTCGCATATACGAACACACATGCTGTCAGGACTGGTGGCCATTTTGTCTCCCGAACGTCGGCAGTGGTACATGGTTGTCGACTGCATGGATCTCTGGGTCGGCTACTTGAGCTTGCAAAACCTGTTGAAGCTTGTACCACTGCCCATCTGACTTCCCAAACAGTTGGATAATGGATTTCAGGAGTAAGGAACTACCGAACAGGGAAAGTATTAATTACTTAAAAACCAGGGGGAGCGTTCGTCCGTGTAAGCACAGGGACCCCCGAAAATCAATCAAAACTGTTTGAACGTAACTCATTTTACCAAACCGATCTAAGTGCTTTTTGGATATGTTGTGTGCTCATTTTTGTGGGGTTCCTGAACTGTTTTCATGTATTTTTGTGATATGTTAAAATTATATGTAAGTTTTTATATTTGAGAGCTAATTGAGTTATCTTAAATGGAGCTCAATTATCTCTCAAACACAAAGGCTTGTGGGAAGGAAACCCTTGAAATTTTGTCTAGGGACAATGCATAAAAAGCAGAATGTGGCCTAATGAAGCTCAGATTGATCTTCTACCCAATATGACTGGTTGCATCCATTATATTGGGGAAACACTACACAGCAATAGCACTATCACCATATTTAGTACATCTGGAACTAGGACTAGTGGAGGATCGAAGGAATAACAACAATAGACTAGAGAACCCATGATATTGGTGTCAGAAGTGGGATCCTGCATACAACACAAGTCCAGCAAAGAGTTCCAGCAGAAAGCCAACAGCGACAAGAATGGAGGAATTAACTGTAGCCACCCTACAAGAACTAATGGCCAAGAAAGGACAAGACCCAGCAGGGCTGAAGAAACACAAGCTAATTGCGGCTCTGGTGAACCTAGATCAGGATGGGTCACAAAGTTCTGCCAATGACCCCCCCCCCCCCGGTCTCCCAGCACCCCAGATGCCATTCAATGAGCTCTCCGAATGGGTGAGAGAATGACTCGTCTTTTAAAGGCCAAACCCATAGAAGCAGCAGAACGAGAGCGAGCCAAGGAACTGCCCATTTGCAGAGTCCAAGCTACAGCCAGTATACCAGATGATATGTGATCCTGCAGAAGTTCTGGTTCCCACAGCAGCATCAAGGTCACACACCAGTTCTTTAAGACCTTCAATGATGAAGGGGGGGACATCGACGGGTTCCTACAGGTCTTCGAAAGGCAGTGCCAACTACACCAGGTAGAGCTCCACGAATGGGCTCCCATCCTAGTAGGAAAACTGACTGTCAGAGTGAAGCCGAAATTACCCGGAGGTAAAGAAACGACTACTGGCACGGTTCACCCCAGACACGTACCGCAGTTTATTTTCCAACACCGCGCAGGTTGTAAAGGACTGGGTAAGAGATCATGAACCCCACACCTTAGAGGCCGCTGCCCAACTTGGAGACTGATTTCTGGATACCCAGTGACCAACACACCTACACCCGGGAGCATCACCAGCCTATTCTCCCTAAACCATTCCCTTGGTAACCCAGCCACTGTAACCAACTCCAGGACCCCCAGCCAGAACACCACCCCGTACATTGCGGGTTTACTTTACCCAAAGGAGCTGCTTCCATTGTAACCAACCTGGGCATATCAAGTGGAACTGTACGATGCCCTGACCTCGAAATACAACAACCACCAGAACTCGGTAAGCTACTACCTCAGGTCCTTTCCCCCCCGACAAGCCCACTGTGTAAGCAACCCCCGTGACTCTGCATCTAAATCTCACACTAGGGACTATAGGAAGCATCAGCAGGACTACTTTTCCTCCCAGTGAAACTGATGACTATGGGCACTACAATGAGCTCTCAATGGTCCAATAGCTGGCCTTTGACAATGGCTAACATTGCTATCAACCAGTAAAAGTGAATGGATGGTTAGCTGAAGGACTTCGAGACTCGGGTGCCACCCTCATGCTAGTACAATCCGGAGCACTAACGTCCACCATAGGGTTTCAACAGTGACAGTTCTGCATGGAACCAACTTTCTCTCAGAGGATCCATTTCAAAGCTGTTTTTTATTTTGTTTTTAAAAAGAAACACATTTTGGAAAATGTAAGATTACAATGATCTTTAATCAATGAAATTTAAGTTTTTTAGTGTATTAGATGTTTGTGTAGTGTATTTAGTATTGGCTTTTATTTTGGCGTTTGTGATTAGGTGATAATAGTTTGGATGTATGTTTAAAGTTGTAATTTGGTAAAATGTTTGCTGAAATATCTCTCTTACAAACATGGCAAAAATAAAATCACCAAAAAAGAAGCAATGGAAGAAAATATTGTAACACAATCTGCCAGCAAGTGTACCTACACACGCAAGCTAAAAAGTATTTTGAAATTAAATTAATAATAAAAAATAGTTTGAGAAAAATACTATTTAGATTTAAACTACTGATAGCAACAAACTAAATTAGTGCTGAAACAACCCTGGAGTTCTTATAGTCACACTAGCAAACGTAAGCAAACTAGCAAGGTTATCCAATAAAGTGAGAATAAAGTGAATTTAAAATTCAGAACAGGAAACATTCTTTTAACCCACTATGCTTACAGATCAGCTACTTTGGTCTTAAATTTGAAAATCACTTTGAATTCTCACTTTAGTAACTAACCCTTTAAGAAATAAAAAGCTAAAAAAACAAAACAAAACAACCTTGTACTTTCACTTGTTACTGGACTGAGAACAATTTAAAATAAAATAAATACATTTACCAAATAAATCTCACAGCAAAAGTTCACTTCACTGCTGATTGTGAAGAAAAAAAATTAAATCTCTGACACACACAGTTACACACAGTTGCTCCACTGTATAAAGCAGCCCTTTATGGATGATAGCCTCTGATGACGTGAGTGGTAACTCACGAAACGCGTAAGGACATTATCCAGCATCTTCTGCAAATCACAGAATCAGAGTTGTATTGGAACACAGGAGGGGAGATTAGTGGAACGCAGGCATCTCCTTCTTACTTTACATCTACCGGCCGGACTGCAGGACCGTGTCAGCCATCAACCACCCCCCACTACAAGCATTTCCTACTTACACTCGTATAAGATCTGCAAAATTGTAAGTGCTTTTAATTAATAATGTTTATTAAAGTTTCCTAAACAGTAAGCACTATGGATCTTTATTTATTTTCTTTATAGAACAGTGAACTCAAGCTAGCACTTAAAATCATCATATAG